TCCAACGGTAAGTTTATTCAATTGATTCATTATTATTAAATTCTCTCTCCCCCCCCCTCTCTCTCTCTCTCACACACACACACTCTCGTAATAGAATAGAATAGTTATTAGATAATTGTTAATTAGTAATTATTAACGAATGCCTCGATATTTTACTTTCTTTATAATTATTAATTAGTTAATTGCAATTATTAATAACAATTGTTAATTAGTTAATAAACAAGATTTTTACGATAATGATAAATGGACTCGAACACGCTCTCGAAGAGTACGAATTAATTCTAGTATCATCTACATACACTAAATTACAATATTTACATATAAATTATTGGCTCTCTTTTTTTCTCTCTTAAGAAAAACATTAAAAAAACTAAAAAGATCAATGAAATACATTTTCAAATTTAATGCTCGTATATGATGCCTTAAAAATTTAAATGTTTATCATCTTATTTTTTTTATTTATTCAGCAACAGTCGGCATATTCGTTACAGGGTGAACGTAGTACAGTGGAACGAGGATCTTTATGAGAAGCAGTTGATCGAACGCACGATGGATGCCTGTGGTGGCCAAGTAGACGTGGTAATCGATTTCGGCACGACATCACGCAATCTTCATCGCAGCATGCAATGCCTAAGTAAGGGCGGTGTAGTGTTTGTGATCAAGGAAGTCGCAGATCGACTACTGCCCAAGTTTAGCCGACGAGCGGAAGAGCGGCAGCAATCTATCAAACCGGTAGAACCGGGTACTTTGGAGCAATTACGGGAGCTGGTGCAACTAGTCGCCTCGGGCGACATCCAGCCGCCTCCGCACACCGTGTATCCCGCCGAGGAAGCTCTGGACGTCGTCCAAAAGCTTTGTCACTCGGAGATCCAGGGCCGCGCGATTCTCCGCTTTTATCCCGCGGACTAGAAGATTTTTCGTTGAAAGATTTCTCCGCGATCGCAGATCAGGCGACAGATTCGACGACGACGACCGAAAAAGTCCGGATCCGGCCCGGGTGATGAGAGTTGTACAATTGAGAGTTACTACGGCGTGTGCGTTTCGAAGTTTCAATATGTAGCTGAGAAGAACTATCGAGTACAGAAGTAACTATATTGCTTCATATTGAGGGCCGGAGATTAGATAAAGCGTTGATACGTGTATGTCCTGTAGGGCGATAGTTTGCGAATGAGGGGACTTGACTACAGGAATGATCTTCGTAGAAGTGACACATAAACTCGAAGAGATTTGATCTACCGAGTCAAAAAGATCTCACAAAATCGACAAAATTTGACGATACACGAATGAAAGAATTGACGAAAGAACGAATAAAAGAGTTGACGAAAGAATGACGTTCTTATTTATATGGATGATCAAATATTAATTGTTAATTTGACAGAATTTTTTTGTAATAACAGTACGAAATACTTTTGAATCCAATTTAATTTCATCAGACTTTTTGTTGATTGACAATTCTTTTTAATGCTAACCAAACGTGTAATATTTGAAGGAAAGTTTTCATATAATAAACGAATTCTTTTCTGTAAAGAACTTTTTTTCGAAAGTTTGCCAATGAAATGAAAAAAATTAGAAAATTATTATTTAATATTTTAGGAATTATCTCACTTTATGCCTTTCTTTTAAGTAACGAGCAATTAACTTTCAGAAATGGGCAGAGATAATAATGTATACGTCAATCCATCACACGGGCATAAGATAACAGCCTAGATAGTACGAAAAAATGACATAAAGCTGTCATGCTTAACAAAAAAGGACATTATCGTTAAAGAAGCGACGCTCTCTATTTTCTATTAATGGATGTCTAATATTTGTCGTTTCTTGGCACAAAGTAAAATCCAAGATAACATTATAATGTATGCATATTTGTGCCGAATGCACTAATGCAGTTATGAGCAATTAATGTACGAGGTATTCTGTTTCGTATTCAAGAATTCTTGAATAGAAACATACTGATTGGAGACACAAAGCAATACAGTTGTGTGTCTCTTCGACACGTGTGAAGCTGTGGTATTAAAACGCGCACGTAATAAGATAATTTCGATGTATGTTGATTATTTTTACTAAGAATTCAAGAGAGTACCAGCAACTATACAAAATAGTCATATTAACTATACTGTTTTTAATATTTATATTGTAGTTAATACGAGTACTTAAAAGTCGTTGGTGCCTAGAAATAGTGATAAAAAAAGGATTAAAAGAAATGAAACAACTTCTAATATAATTGTATTAACTATACTACTTTAATTATAACTACAAATAGCTAATAATGGCTATTTAAAGTTGCTGGTATTTGTAGAAACATCGACAGTATGAGAAGAATTAAAGCTAATATTTTTGCTGAAAACATATGAAGGAATGTCGAGAATTTTCCTATAAGATGTTTTATTGATACCGCTGTATTTAGAGCAGAACAATCGGAAAGAAGTCTGTATTTAAAATGCATTTTCAAACGATCTTTATTTAATTATATTAAATGTGTATATTGTTGAACAATTTTTTTAAATATATATATATATAAACGTGACAAGAATACAGACTTTATAACAACAGCGGTACATTCGATATGATCAGAAGATTTTAGGAGAGACAGATTGAGACAGCGATCATTCACGTTAATTATGTGATGAGAACCAGCGACCTTGTTGAGCACGCATTTATTTCAAGCGATATTCTTTATGTGTTGGCGGCGTATATTGCTATGTATTTTAATTATCGAGAAACTTTGTCGCGACAATAATGGTGACAGATTGATATATCTTGTAATTATTTGAAATATACAGAGTCACTACTAATTGTCACGAATGTTCCACGATAATTAATTGAAGGACACCGATGAAGATACCGCTGACGCAGTACAAAAGTGTACTACTGCAGAACCCAAAACAAGTCCGATATTTATGAGCACACTTCAATGCATACTGCAATGAATATTGCAGCACAGGATCAAACATGTATATTCAATGTCAATTCAGGAATAATATTCGATCGGATGCGCCTGTACGAGCGCCTAGAATAAATTCCCCGTTAAGATAAGGATGTTGAACTGTAATAAATATCTGTCCTACCATAAAATGACACGTCGTCGCTATAGCGAGGTAATCCCGAAACTTAGTAAATAACGTGTCTTGAAAGCTAGGAATACAGTATCAATAAGATTCAAAGTTGTTTCTTTGTAAGGCAGGTACAGAAAAAAATAATCGCTTCATAAATAGACCTAAGAACAATCGCTTCATAAATAGATTCTATTTTTCATGATTTAAAAATTATTAAGACGAGTTCCTTCACAGCACACATCTAGTTAGCGGATATATGCTTTTTCAGACGTTCTAGTGTGAAAGAGTGAGATATATACCGTATCCGTACATAAAAATATTTTAATGAATTGATATACTAAGATATTTAACTATATGTTTAAGTTTCTTAATATGTTTTCCGAATCAGAGGCGAGCATACAAGTATGCTGAATTTAAACGCATCAGTGCTGACCATGCCTGATATTTTCCTATAATTAAACTTCCTTCCGAGGTCTAGATGATCACCTCGCTACATCGTTAATATGCCACTTTATGGTACCATGTGAATATTTACGTAAAGTATGGCGTTACTTTACTTTAAGATTCTATCCGACATAATTGAGATTGTATTTAAAATGAAATGTGTCGCATATAAGAGTGAACGTGAATTGCGTTTCAAGGTCAAGAGAAACGAGCGATCGTATTAAATGACGAGTAGTTGCACGCTAACCGGGCCTTGCCGTCATATCTGCCGATGGTTTCGTGAAACTTAAACACGACATCGCGAATCCGAATCTTATCGTTAACCGGCACAATAATAAGAGCATAATATACTTTACTGAGCGTGTACACTCGTGTCCAGAATATCTCGTTGATCGTCGTTTATCGTTAGATCAGTATTCACCTTTTGCTTAGCGTAAGTTAATGTAAGTTCGTTCGCGTAAACTTGCGACATAATGCTCGCGTCGATCGTAATACAATCGCAAGTTGTACCTCAGAAAGACTGTTCTGTTTATTTTAAATGGTATATTGATATACCCCTCATTTTTAATTTTTATCGTATAATTTAGGCGATAGCTGAGGGTCGTAGCGCATTATGTAATATTATTGTATTTACTGTTGATTGTAACAGTAAACGCATTATTACATTACGGTGATAATATAGCCAATGTCTTATTTTCTTTTTTAAATAACTTTTGTGTTTTATTTTTCTAAATCTTTCCCATAACAATATATTCTATAATCTACATCAAATATTTCAAATTTGTTATATATGTTGCATTTAATTAAACTGTCGAGGATTGTAAATATAGTAATAAAAACGATTATTAAGAAAAAAATCAGAAAAAATCGTACTTTTTATATCAACAAACAAGATATGATATTCATTGCAGTGCCTAGCTACATAATCCAGGTAATCTTAAAATAATTACAGTGTTAAATTTATTCTAGAAACAACAATAAAATGGCATAACAATAATATATTATTCCTTGAAGTAGTAAGTATTATTTACTTGAAATAAAGTATTGATAAAACAGTCTAATACATTCCTACATACAACTAAAATAACATCGGTTATAATTAAGACTAGATCAGTGTTTCTTTTTGTAACATTTTTATTAATGCATTTATCGTCAATATTCACATTTAATATACAATTTTCCAGAAATTTAACATTATATACAAATATACATTAAAAATTACACGTAAAAAATCGATTGTATAATTAAAATATGATTAAATTTACAAATAAAAAAATTATCACAAGTTTATATATGTATACTGATAAGCATATATTATTTATTACAAAACTGGTCTACTGGATCACAATTTTGTTAGGCAAGAACATACGTGCAATTTTCTGTATTATAATATCAATTATTAATATCAGTTAGCAATTCTGTACAATTAAAAATGACAATCCAATTGTTACAAAAAAAATTTTCTTTCTGATTAAGCGGTATCTTTTATATATGCATATATTACATTTAATACATTTATACATGAATATAATATAATTCGATAATTCAATACGTATGTAAAAATTTTTAAAAGTGTATAAATCAAATAATATATAAACCTAAGTACTAGTAAAAAATTTGAAATGTTATTTTCGAGTATTGATGTAAATATCTAATATTTCGATTAATCATCTTTTTGAGATCTTTACGTTTAATCAGATCAGATAAAAAATTCTAAAAGGCTTCTTTTTTAATATAAAATATCAATAATACACATTTTTTATGAGATAATCATAAAAAAACTCAAATATTGATAAATTGATAGTCATAATTTCTATCAATGATTAATAATTCTGCAATCGAGTTAATTATCAGATCTCGGCATAAAATTGTAACGCTATAAATGTAAAACTTGTGCTTAATCTTAAGTTCATCGTTATGACTTTGGTTTAATAGGCGAGCTTAAATAATTCTGTGGAACGTAGCCTTGTTTACCATTACGATTCTCTACCAGCCACCATTCATCATTTCCTTTCTCATCATGAGGTCTGAGCAATCTCAGCGCTTGGCCGTTAGTAATAGGCAATGTGCCCGGCATGTTTCCAGCAAAATCGTACATCGCATAGTAAAACTAAAATTTTATCATGTTAATATAAAGATATTATTATTCCGAAAGATATTAGAAAATTATTAATATTCTATTATATTAGAATATTATACTAACTTCGCCATGTATATTCTGTATATTCTGTATATTCTGTATATTCTGATACACCTGAACTCTTGGCGTTTCGGGAACATTGCTATAATTGTGATATACTTTTGTTTCTTGATCTAATGAAAGCAAATCCTGTAGATGCGACGAAAATACTTTCTTGATTTCTTTCTCTGGAGAATCCAACGACATCAAATTTGGAGGGCTAGCACTTTTTCTGCCGGCAGCAGCGACATCCGATGTGGTTTGATCATGACGCTGATTCTGTCGTTGAACCGGTCTCAATTTTTGAGATGGCAAGAATCCTTGAGTGACTCCAGTGTCGACGTACCATCTCGCCGGATTTCCCATTGGATCCTGCTTTTTTATAACTGCGACCAACGTACCTCTCGTAGCATCCACTTCCAATGTAGATGTACTGGCAATGTCCTCAACCACCACATATAATTTGTCCGCGGTGTATTTTTCTCTGAGCGAAGATCTCTGCTCTTCGGTTTGTTTAGACAATTGCGTTTGACCCTCGTCTATTCGGGTATTCATGCCAGCAAACGCAAAACGCGTTATTTGATTCCATATTAAATTATGATTTACAAGAAATGATTCCAGCACATCTTGTGACGATAGATGCGGTGTTGTCTAAAAAAGAAAATTATGTTTCGTTCATTCTCGAATTACATTAGACTGAAAATTTTCTATTAAAGTTTTAATACCTCGCAAAGAGATATATATTGCTTCGTAATTTTTCCGCTTAATAATTTTCGGGCGCCAGCAAAAGCATTTATACAATTAACCAAAATGTTGGCTGCGGCATCCAGCAAAATAGGTAATTCTTCCAACAATTGTTGATTCAGAGCTTCGTAATTACTCTTAGCAGTAAATAATTCTTCTTGTATCTGAAACATAAAATAAATCAAATAAAATTATGAAAAAAATAATAAAAATGTCTACAATAAAGCATATTAAATAACATAATTACAATTTTTGATTCTTTATATTTCTCACTCTTTGAAATAGCAGCGTCGTAGTCCAACAACTTATCATGCCTCTTTGATACCAACATCGCTGGCCCTTCTAACAACGTCGCTAAGAAATGTAACGGGGCGCTAACTGTCTTCTCGGTATATGACTTAAAGTCCTGTATGTATTGTGACCAAATTATAGATCTTATGTCCTGCAACTTTTTCACCTCGGCAGTTGGACTTCCCTGATAATAATGAACTAGCAATTCAGCTATCGCTTCACCAGATATAGCTTCATCACTCAGATACGTAATACACTGCTCAATATCTTTCACCAATTGCCATGTACATTTCTCTATAGATCGAAATTGTTTCTCGAGCTCCTCAAATTCGGTATCGCTCGCAACGTTTGTCAATCCTAGACTCGCCGACAATCGCGTGCTAAGTCTTGTTGACATTTTTGCCACAGAATGCATACTTAATTTTGACATTTTACTAAATAAAGTATTATCATTATCTAAATACTTTGATACGATATCTCTTCTCCTTTTGTATTCGTTGATATAACTGGCCACATTTGTCATAGCCTCCCACGCCTCCATTATGGCTGCTTTATCTGGATGATTGTCTTCTGTACACTAAAAATTATTTTTCATACAGGAAAATATTATAATGCAATATAACTTTGAATATATACATGCGTATATAAATATTTATCTAAAAAATAATCTGAATTCAATTTCACAAATGCTGCTGAAATTGGTATATATCAATTTATCGGTATATATAACTTCATTAAAATATATATTTCAAAATTGAATTCTACTATCTTCCAAATAATCTATTTATATTCTTTGTATTTTATGTATCTAACGCAATTACTTACTTTTATTAATTCATATAACATTAGAGGATACTTTACAATTCTTTGAATTGGCTTTATCAAAATGGAGCTCATATCAAAACAAGCAATCCGACGACGTAATGTCTCAATACCCTTGTTAAATACTTTCATGATCTCTTCATTACTTTCATACTAAAATACAAATGGATTCGATATACATAATCCTAACTTCAAATAACCTTACATTAGTATATAATACGTAAACCTTACATTAATAAATAATTTTCAATTAAAAATTTCGATTAAATTATATATATATATATATATATATAATACCTTTTTCAACAATGCTAACGCAGCTTCATGATTCCCACAATACTTAACATAAACATTTTTCAATTTCTCGGCCATTTTCACGAAACAAGGGCCAACTGTTTGTAAATTTTCATCACAATCTTTCATAGCTTTCAAAATCATATCCAACAACTCCTCGGCAACATGAATAACTTCCAAAATATTCCCAAACAACGTAGCAACATCGATCCCCTTTGATTCGAGAAAACTTGGATTATATAAATTAAATGTTTCGTATGTTAACTTCAGATCACGAACATATTCTTTTTCAGTTATAACTAATTCCGATATTACATTTTGACGTTGATCTGCATTCTTTTGTTTCATATTTACAGTATTATTGATTGCAGACTCGTTTTCCCACGTTCCTTTTTTAGCAGATACTTCTCCATTTGCAATAATTTCTTTCTGTAATGGCACTCTGCCTGGAGCAGGAGCAGGTGGTGCTGGTCTGTGCGGTTGCGACATTCTCTTTGGTTCCTCATTCACAACAATGTTCGCTTCCTTATGTCTAATCATTACAAAATCTTCAAAGTCTTCTAAATTTGATTCCTTCAAACTATCCAATAAATATTCGGATATCGATTCGGAGCTCAAATATTCTCGTGGACACAAACCAACTAGACCATTCTTATTTTTCACTTTCACCCAATCCTCATTAGTCATTTCCAACACAGTGACACTCTCGCCCTCGTGGACATTTAAATCGCCATTCATTTGTGCATCAAAGGTATATAACACTTTTACAGTAGTATTCGGTTCCAAAGCATCTTTTTTTGCAGGAATTACTTCAGATTGGTCTTGATGCTGCTTTGCTTCTGCACAATCGACTATTATGTTGACGTAAGATAATGGAAAAATACCTTTAGTGATATCGATCATACCCTCTAACCATTCGGAATCGATGTATCTAGTGAGATGCACTACTTCGCCGGCTCCAAAGCTCAGCTCGTTTGGAAACTGTGCATTAAATGGATATAATGTTATAGCATATGGTTTAATATCAACTGAATTTGTATGAGTATTATACTGTGTGCTGTCTGTATTATTAGTTGTTGGCAACGCCTCTGGAAACAAGTCAAAGTAATTTGGAGTAGGTTCAGGCAAGTTTGCATAAGAATTTACAGAGGTTTCACCAAAATCTTTATAAATTGTGCCATTGTGAACTGTCGAAAAAGATGTAAAAATGTTCTCAGTTGTACATGTAATTTGTCCTTGATCAATTATATCTTGATCTTCTTCTATGTAGGATATAAACCCTTCGGGGATTATGCCTTCTCTACCATCTTCCGTAACTCCACGACACCAGCCATCATCCAAAATTTCTGTTACGACGACCATCTCG